CCATCGACAGATGAATGGATAAAGAAGAGGTGGTATATATACACAATGGAATATTATGCAGCCATCAAAAGGAATGAGATCTTGCCATTTGCAACGACGTGGATGGAACTGGAGGGTGTTATGCTGAGTGAAATAAGTCAATCAGAGAAAGACATGTATCACATGACCTCACTGATATGAGGAATTCTTAATCTCAGGAAACAAACTGAGTGTTACTGGAGTGGTTGGGGGTGGGAGGGATGGGGTGGCTGGGTGATAGACATTGGGGAGGGTATGTGCTACGGTGAGCGCTGTGAATTGTGCAAGACTGTTGAATCACAGATCTGTACTTCTGAAACAAATAACGCAACATATTTTAAGAAAAAAGGAAAAGAAGAAGATAACAGGAGAGGAAGAAAAGGGGAGTATGTCAGAGGGGGAGACGAACCATGAGAGATGATGGACTCTGAAAAACAAACTGAGGGTTCTAGAGGGTAGGGGGGTGGGGGGATGGGTTAGCCTGGTGATGGGTATTGAGGAGGGCACGTTCTGCATGGAGCACTGGGTGTTATGAACAAACAATGAATCATGGAACACTGCACCAAAAACTAATGATGTAATATATGGTGATTAACATAACAATAAAAAATTTAAAAAAAAAAGAATTTTTCCCATGCAGCTAGTAAGGGGTTATGGAATCTTCTTTTTAAAAAGGTCTTTCTTTTCTCCATAGAAAATAGGAAACAAAACATATACAGCTTCCTTCTTTGATCAAGGAAAGATAACATAAAATCAGAACTATGAATATCCCTTTAAGCAATGATTCAGTATTAATTAATGAATATACAAAACCAGTCACTTAGACTTAAAACACATTGTTGTTCAGACTATATTTTATACAGCACTTCTCACTGCTAATTAGAGAAGTTGATGATACTGAATATTTATGACTCAAGTTGTTAAACTATGAACCTACCTTCTAACCTATAGAATCACCTATATGTTGCCATATTTCTAATATCGTCTATTGAGGCAACACATGCAAATATAAAAATTAACAAAATATTTATTTGTATATCGTTTGTCCTAAGCACCCATTGATTCCTGTGGGTCCAAGACTAATGGTATGTGCTAGCAAATTCTCATACTCTGAACTCCCTTATGGCCAATGAGAGAACCAGCCAATGTCGAGAAACAAGTCATAAGAGCTTATGGACCCCACTTTCTCCAGGTGAAGCAAATTTGCTAAAAGTATAGGGATTTAGGAGGTTCTTTGGCTTCATCAATAATATACTGAAACCAACCTGTCTTAAAACTTCCCTATTGGTGTTGACTCTTGTAATATGGAAGCATGTATTTGTTTCATGATGATAAAATTAAGAAAACAATGAAATAAAATCTTTCTTCACTAAACTCCAACTATCAATCATAGGAAATAACTCTGGCATGTAGTATACAGAGCTCACCCAAAAGCTTAGTAGTTTTTGCTGCACAAGTAATGATGTCATAACAGAACTGATTCCAGAATATGGGAAAGAAAGGCCAAGGTCAGACGACATTTTCCTGTCAGGACTTCAACTCCAGTGCCAACAGGAAAGCTCCAAAGTCTCCAATTCCAAATGTATCATTTGGCAGAAATTTCTTTGTAATTTCTGTAAGCTGTTTTTACACATGATTTAATATTTCAGCATCTGCTTTATAGTTACCGAAGGGCAAATATCAGGGCAAACACTTGAGAATTAGCCACAATTATAATTGAATTCAGTGAAGAATCCAAGGGAAGGAAAAATAATAGCAATTTGCCCTTCTCTGGCTTTTTGCTTTGAATTAAACTATTATTTGACAAAACGAAGATGAACAAAAAGGGGGTTTAAAACAAAGAGTAGACAAGATTGTCACTTAATACTTAGATAAAGTATTTCAGAAAATTAAACAGTTAAAAAGCATTCAACAGTGCTCACTTTGGCAGCACATTTACTAAAATTGGAACAATACAGGGAAGATTAGCATCTTATGCAAGGATGACATGCAAATTCATGAAGCATTCCATATTTTTTTAATGCACATGAAACTTTTTCCAGAATAGATGACATACTGGGTCACAAATCAGGTCTCAACCGGTACAAAAAGACTGAGATAATACCACACATATACTTTCAGGCCACAATATTTTAAAACTTGAAGTCAACCACAAGAAATAAATTGGAAGGACCACAGATACATGGAGGTTAAAGAGCATCCTACTAAAGAATGAATGGGTCAACCAGGAAACTAAAGAATTTAAAAAAATACATGGAAACAAATGAAAATGAAAACACAATAGTTCAAAACCTTTGTGATTAGCAAAGGTGGTCTGAAGAGGGAAGTATATAGCAATACAGGCCTTCCTCAAAAAACAAGAAAAGTCTTAAATACATAATCTAACTTTACACCAAAAGGAGCTGGAGAAAGAACAGGAAATAAAGCCTAAATCCAGCAGAAGAGAAAATAATAAAGATTAGAGCAGAAATCAATGATATAGAAATAAAATAAATAGTAGAACAAATCAACGAAACTAACAGCTGAAATTAAATTCTTGAAAGAATTAATAAGCTTGATAAACCCCTAACCAGACTTATCAAAAAGAAAAGAGAGAGAACCCCCAAAAATAAAATCATAAATGAAAGAGGAGAGATCACAACCAATAGCAAAAAATTACAAACAATTTTAAGAAAATATTATGAGCAATTATATGCCCACAAATTGGGCAATCTGGAAGAAATGGATGCATTCCTAGAAACATATAAACTACCAAAACTGGAGCAGGAAGAAATACAAAACCTGATCAAATTTATAACCAGCAAAGAAATTGAATCAGTAATCAAAAATCTCCCAACAAACAACAATCCAGGGCCGGATGACCACCCAGCGGAATTCTACCAAACATTTAAAGAAGAATTAATACCTATTCTGTTGAAACTGTTTCAAAAAATAGAAATGGAAGGAAAACTTCTAAACTCTTTCTAGGAAGCCAGCATTACCTTGATCCCCAAACCAAAGACCTCACTAAAAAGTATTACAGACCCTGTAATATCCCTGATGAACATGGATGGAAAAATTCTCACCAAGATACTAGCTAATAGGATCCAACACTGCATTAAAAGGAGTATTCACCACAACCAAGTGGGATTTATTCCTGGGCTGCAAGTGTGGTTCAACATCCACAGATCAATCAATGCGATACATCACATTAATAAAAGAAAGGACAAGAACCATATGATTCTCTCAATAGATGCAGAAAAAGCATTTGACAAAATACAGCCTCCTTTTTTGATAAAAACTATCTGCTGTGTAGGAATAGAGGGAATATACCTCAATATCATAAAAACCATATACAAAAACCCACTGTGAATATCATCCTCAAGCGGGGAAAATTGAGAGCTTTTCCCCTAAGGTCAGGAACATGACAGGGATGTCCACTATCACTGCTGTTGCTCAACATTGTACTGGAAGTCCTAGCCTCAGCAATCAGACAAGAAAAAAGAAATAAAAGACATCTAAATAGACAAAGACGAAGTCAAGCTTTCATCCTTGCAGACAACGTGATACTCTATGTAGAAAACTCAAAAGACTCCACCTGAAAATCGCTAGAACTCATACAGCAATTCAGCGAAGTCACAGGATATAAAATCAATGCACAGAAGTCAGCTGCATTTCTATACACTAACAATGAGGCAGAAGAAAGAAAAATCAAGAAATTGATCCTATTTACAACTGCACCAAAAACCGTAAGATACCTAGGAATAAACCTAACCAATGAGGTAAAGGATCTGTACTCTGAAAACTATAGAACACTTATGAAAGAAATTGAGGAAGACACAAAGAAATGGAAAAATGTTCCATGCTCATGGATTGGAAGAATAAATATTGTTAAAATGTCTATGCTACCCAAAGCAATCTATACATTCAATGCAATCCCTATCAAAATACCATGAACATTTTTTACAGAGCTGAAACAAACAATCCTAAAATTTGTATGGAACCAGAAAAGACCCCGGAGAGCCAAAGGAATGTTGAAAAAGAAAACCAAACCTGGGGACATCACAATTCCAGACTTCAAGCTGTATTACAAAACTGTAATTGTCAAGATAGTATGGTACTGGCACAAAAACAGACACATAGATCAATGGAATAAGAACAGACAATTCAGAAATGGACCCTCAACTCTACAGTCAACTAATCTTCAACAAAGCAGGAAAGAACATCCAATAGAAAAAAGTCTGTTCAACAAATTGTGTTGGGAAAATTGGATGGCCACATGCACAAGAATGAAACTGGGCCATTTTCTTACACCATACACAAAAATAGACTCAAAATGGATGAAAGACTTACTAAATGTGTGACAAGAATCCATCAAAATCCTAGAGGAGAACACAGGCAGCAACCTCTTTGACCTCAGCTGCAGCAACTTCTTCCTAGACAAATCTCCAAAGGCAAGGGAAACAAAGGCAAAAATGAACTATTGGGACTTCATCAAGATGCAAAGCTTCTGCAAAGCAAAGGAAATAGTCAACAAAACTAAAAGGCAACCAACCTACAGAATCGGAGAAGATGTTTGCAAATGCCTTATCAGATAAAGGGTTAGTATCCAAAATCTATAAAGAACTTATCAAACTCAACATCCAAAAAACAAATAATCCAGTCAGGAAATGGGCAGAAGACATGAATAGACACTTCTCCAAAGAAGACATCCAAATGGCCAACAGACACATGAAAAAATGCTCCACATTACAGAGCATCAGAGAAATACAAATCAAAAGCACAACGAAATATGACCTCACACCAGTCAGAATGGCTAAATTTAACAAGTCAGGAAATGACAGATGTTGGCGAGGATACAGAGCAAAGGGAACCCTCTTACACCGTTGCTGGGGATGCAAGCTGGTACAGTTACTCTGGAAAACAGTCTGGAAAAAAATAAAAAAATAAAAAACCAGTCTGGCGGTTCCTCAAAAAGTTAAAAATAGAGCTACCCAATGACCCAGCAATGGCACTGCGAGGGAATTTTTTACCCCAAAGATACAAACACAGTGATTCGAAGGGGCACATGCACCCCAATATTTATAGCAGCAATGTCCACAATAGCCAAACTGTGGAAAGAGCCCAAATGTCCAGCAACAGATGAATCAATAAAGAAGTAATATATATACAATGGAATATTACTCAGCCATCAAAAAGTATATAATCTGCCATTTGTAAGGATAAGGATGGAACTAGAAGATATTTTGCATGGCATAAAGACAAACGGTATATGATTTTACTCATATGTGGAATGTAAGAAACAGAAGAGATGAACAAAGGGGAAGGGAAGGAAAAATAAAATAAGATGAAAAAAGAGAGGGATGCAAAGCATAAGAGATGCTGAACTCTGGACACAAACTGCGGGTGGCTGGAGGGAGGTTGGTGGGGGGATGGGGTAACTGGGTGATGGGCATAAAGAAGATCACTTGATGTAATGAGCCCTGGGTGTTATATGCATCTGATGAATCACTAAATTCTTTTTTTTAAGATTTTATTTATTTATCTGAGAGAGAGAGAGAGAGAGAGAGAGAAACAGCATGAGAGGGGAGATGGTTAGAAGGAGAAGCAGGCTCCCCACTGAGCCGGGAGCCCAATGTGGGACTCGATCCCAGGACTCTGGGATCATGACCTGAGCCGAAGCAGTGGCTTAACCAACTGAGCCCCCCGGCACCCGAATCACTAAATTCTACCCCTGAAACTAATAATACAGTATATGTTAACTACATTGAATTTAAATAGAGAATTTTTAAAAAGCATTCATCACCGTGTATGACACAAATAAATAATTAGCTGAAACATTCTCTATCTTGAGACTGGAATAGATTTTAACCAGCCAAAGTTGCAAAATTCTACAGAAATGAGATCCATCTGATTCAATGCATCCCTTCGATACAGAGAGTAAATTGTATTGTCTTGATCTCAGTTCCAGTGACATTGTGGATATGTTTCTATACTACTACCACTTAATGACACTGCAGACTTTGATCAAAGACCCTATAATGTGTGGGCACCTCACTTGAGGCTCAGTACCATGATGTAGAGTAAAGCAGCCCTGGTAGCTGTCTTTCCCAATATCCATTCTAGAGATTAGAATCAGTCAATCATGGTAATGGATCCCCCCTTGCTAGTGATTCATTGAGAAAAGATCAGGGAACCCATCTGCTCTCACACTCAAATCTTATCTGATAAAAATTAATACAACAATAATGCTATCAAGTTAGTTTTGTCATGTTCTTCCTCTTAACCAGGGAAGCTTAGAAGGTTAATATAGTTTTTTATGACCAAATGACAAGGGCGAGTTATCAAATCCATTGAACTTCATCTTGAGTGACCTTGTGGACGACCTCCCCACAGACCCTGAGTTTGCTCACGGGGGAAGCCACCTGTCTCCTGGGAATGGAAAGGGAGCGGGGAGGCAGCAAGCCCTCACAGCTTGGAGGCACCTGCATGCCCCAAAGGCAGGGAGACCTGTGTCTGAGACTGAGAGGAAATGACCTCTGCCTAGTCTTCTGAAGGAAGAGAAAATGACATGCATTTATTTTCAGAGGATTCCTTCCATACGTACAAATGTCCTCCTCCTTGAGGAAGGATGAAGCCTGCTGCTTATTCGGGAAATGGTGCGCTGCTGAGCTGCAGATACAATGGAACGTCTCTGCTGAAGGACTGATTGTAAGGGAGTTCTGCTGCCTGACAGGACTGGCCTTGAGTACCAGATCTTCTGAGATTTATGTGGCTGGGAACAAGTTAATGTGCTTGACCCCGAACACTGTCACCTCTAAAAAATACTGCTGTGTAATGTCAATGACTGTCATGAAATGAACCTTTGTAAACGTGGACAGCACATTGCCAGGCACTCACTTTACACACTTCTCAAGCTGGGCTCCCTATTCTAGGGGAAGTTGATTTGATTCTTGACTCCTTTATGAACTTTTTGTAAACTCTGTTGAGGCAGAACCATGAGATGTGACAGATTAAAAATGGCGACAAATTCTTAGA